TCTGGGATTCTATGATTTCAAACCAAACTTACTCATGCCAGAAAGATTGGCAAGATAAGAGGACTGAGGTGAGGTTTGTGTTGCCCATACTTCAAAAGTATTAGCATTCTGAGAGGCCTTTGTAGGTAAAAATGTACAGATTAGGTATATAATTTTACATACACAGCTTGACCACTCAGGTGCATTGGTGTAGGAGGGAGGATAAATCAAACTGCAACTTGTTTCTTCTAGAGAATTTCTTGCAGTTCTTAGTTTGCAGTTGGAATAGAATGATTACTGGTTGATGAAAAGGAGTAACAGGAAACACAGTTGTGGCAGTTAAATTATTGCAGCCTGCAATGAAATAGAAAGTCAAATGCGTTTGCTCTGCGTGTGCATTACCACGTGGAATGGCAACGATGCGTTTGCTCTGCGTGTGCATTACCATGTGTAATGGCAACATGTGGTCCTGCACAGGTAGATTTTTCACTGTCCCATTTGCCCAAGCTCAGCTCATTGCAGCCTTTATATCTTGGGAGTACTTTGTCTTCCAAATTAGAGAAAATTCTTAAAAAAACCAGTGTACATTTAAAATCCATTGAATTTTCCTGCCGCAAAGGTGTTTTGGGAGAAAGGTCCTGCTTTTCTCCCTTCCCTTGCCATGAAGATTCCTCTTTTCTGCCCAGAGTTATGCTAAGCCAGGGCCCAGCACACTTCATCCTCACTCTTCCAGCCTGCTGGATCAGATTACTTTCAGCAGCAATATTTGTGGAGATGGTAATCCCCATATCCTCACGAAACACACAGGTTTTTTACAGGCTTAGGAGACTGAAAACTCTTGATTTTACTGGGGTTGCTATCTGGGAAGAGATTGTGGTTGTACTCTGAGCTGGGCAGAGGGTGAGGCTGGTTCTGAGCACAGTGTAATGATGAAAACACCTGATTTACAAACACTCCTAGCTGCTTCTAAGGTAGAAATACTGAAAACCAGACAAGCAGCAGAGTGAGCTTAGCTCAGCTCTTTGCCACGACACGTGTAACGTGCTGGTGGCTTCTCCAACCCTCAGAAGTTCAGTCCTGCCCAAACAGCTCTTTATAAAATCATCCTGCCATGCAAACCCATATTTTATATAGGTGTTACTTAAAATATTTCTGGAATTGCAGACATAAATTTGCATGAATTTTCATACTTTGGTGTCAAATATTTATTGTAGCAGTTAGATTTTTCAAAGAGGTAGTGAGCTGACTAATTTCCTTTCCCTCCTTTGGGGACTCTCAAAAGAATTTCAAAGCTGTGCTTGTTCTTGAGAACAAGTCGAAATTGTTCTAAAATTGAAAAGCCTAAACTTAGCATGTGATGTAAAAGCGAAAACGGAGTAGTAGAAGGTCTTGTCTATATTAGGGACTTTGGAAAGGTATTTGCTGACGTTGATTCTGTTACAAGTGTTTGGCTTCTGAAAATGCCTCCTGCAATCACTGGGCTGATCTTTGTTCTTCAGATGTGCTAACTGCAGCAGATTTCACTTTGGCTCTTTAGTAGGTGGTTTCTTTCAGCAGGTTGTCCTAAAGCATCTTCCCACTCCTTTATCCACCAGTGGGACTGTCAGTGTCCCAGGATGAACCAAATTTGTTTGGCACCTTGTGTGTATTTATGTGAGGGAACAGCAAAAAGACTCTCACAGTTCTTGGGTTCATCTTTTTTAGCTTTTTGTTACGAATTTTTTTTTGCCTTTTTAAGATTCTGTTCTCTGCAAGAGTAAGGAAATACTGTTGATTTTCAGTGAAAAGCTAAATTTAAAATAAATAGTGTGATTCTGGTGATGATTTAGTAAAAAAGCTGTTAGCTTGAATGTGGCTCTATCATACTGGGGTGGAAAGAATTAAATAATTAAGACTTCACATAAGATCATAAATTTCAAACACTTGTGTTACTCAGTGACAACAGCATTCCCTGATAAGAACAGCTCGGTTGGGTCAGACAGAGAGTCCTGCTTGGTTTTGTGTCCAGGCCGTGGCTGGAGACAGGGACAGATGCACAGAGAAGGGAATAAGAGATTTTCATCTTTGGGAGGACAAGATGAGGAAACATCTAAGGCACAATGAATGCGAAGTGATTATGGTAATGGGGCACACACCATTATTTAATGAATGTTTCTTTTCAGCTTCGCCCCTAATTCCCTTTGTGAATATCGTGTTGCTTGTCTGGCTGAAATGTATAGCACCTAGCACTGCCTGTCTGCTGGACACTCAGACCCTGGCTTTGAGCAGACATTGAGTGTGATCTGATGGAGGTGCTCAGCATCTGGGGTAGGTGCAGAAAGATCTCAACACGATACAGTTTTTAAAGGTGGTGGGTTTGTTATATCATTCATAAAGGCTCCCTCGACCTCAAAGAGGAGACAGAATCTGTCTGGTTTATGAAGAATTAATGTAGTTTTCATGCAGCTTCATGGCATGAAGAAGTCCTGTTGTTGGTAGGAAAACAGTGTGGATTTTTTTTCCCTTTTGTTGGTATGCATTAATTTTTTTTTTCTTTTTAAAAAAAGCCCAAACAACACTGCAAGAATGAGAGAGGGAGGAGTGGAAGAGAAACTGTAGTGCTTGGCAGCAGTTCTGAGGAGAGCAGGAGCTTTAGGGAGTGCTCACCAGCTCAGTCAAATGGCTGCTCAGTCACTTCATGTTGTTTGTACAGGAAAACAGGTTTTGTTGGTTGTGAATGTGGAGTACTTGTTAATATTCATCAGGAAAGATGTGTTTGGAGGTCTTTGAGGGATGAAAATGCTGTGGTCTCCATCCTTTCTCTCCACCTCTGCTCCCTGCCAGAAACCTCTAAAAAAATCAAAACAAAACCATCATGGGGAATAATTTGCTTGAAGTGGGAAGTGGTTTTTTCCTTCAACAAATTTGCCTTTTGTAAAACACCTCCCATCAGTGCCACCCTTTCTTCTCCCGTGAAGCAGCTGGAGGACATCTCTCCTGCACACAGAAGGACCAGTCCCTTTGGCTCATTCCACCTCTTGAACTCAAACACGTTGTGTCTCCAACAGAAATGCTGCAAGTGAAGAGACTGCTAATTAAACTGATTGCTCTGATTGGTGTGGTACACGTGTAAGGATCCTACCCCTGCCCTCTCTGGGTCACATTCCCTGCCTGCTGCCCTGTCTTGTGGTAAAAAAGTGAAAGCCTAAATGATTGAAGTTCCCCATGACAAACTGCCTTAGCTCAGACCTACATGGCACAACCAGCTGAAAAACAGGGAATTCAGAGAAGAAAATGTGTGAAGAAAAGGCCTCTCCTGTTGACGTGATTTCTTTTTAATCAAGGCTGAGCTACGGAAAAACACCAAACATTTTTTCTTGCAAATCAGGTGAAGATTTTACAGTTATCTTAGGGAGCAACATTTCCTTCTCTTAGGCACATGAAGGACACCACTAGCATCTGAAAGAAACCAGTCTTGTATGGAAGCCTTGGGCAAAAATGTGCCATGAAGAGCTTGGTGTGAGGGTCACAGGCCCAGCATGGACAGTGTGTCCCTCCTGGGGGGCTAAGCCCTGTGGGGGCTTCAGACACCTCCTAACGAGCTCTTTGGTGTTATTAAACAACGTAGATCCATTAAACCCTGGAGTAACTGTGGAATATTTTATCTGTCCTCCTCGCTCTCTTTCCGGAAGATGCTCCTGGCCCCGGCACGGATGACATATTTTCCTTTTAAACTTGGAATATGCTGATGCTTACCTTGAAAAAATGTTTTTGGGTTTTTTTTGGGAAAACTTCTTTTGACTCCACTTCCGATTTTCCTCGCGGAAACCAGTTGTAGAGCCCATATCATCCCAGAATTGCATGCTACAGCTTTAAGATAAGGTGCCGCGCGCTCGCAGCGGCTCCTCCCGTTCGCTCTATTCTCCTTTTCTCTTTTTTTTAAAATACCCCCCCCAATTTCAGGTTAGGGATTTTTTTTTTTATTTCTTTTTTTTTTTTTTTGCCTTCCCCATACTTCCACTCCCCCCCCTCCCCTTTTCCTTCTCCGAAATCCACCAAAACTGAAGAAAAATCCAAGTGACTGTTCTTAGCAGCTGTGTGGCCTGGAGTTCAGTGGGGAAGCGGCTTCCTGCCGTCCCTATTCATCACCTGCTTCAAAGGGGCCTGGCGCTCCAGTGTGCAGGCCAGGTAGGGTGCCATTGTGCGCAGGCGGGAGGATTAGTATCAAAGCTGCGGCGACCAGGCCCTTGGTCTCGCGCTGCCATTCAGGCTAGCAGGGAGAGGCTAAGAGTGGCCAAGGTCACAGCATCCAGTGTGGTGCGGACTGGGAACGGCTCCCGAGAATAGAGGGCTTCTTATGAAATCATGGTGCAAGCTTGCGGCACAGCAGGTGCCCTTCTGGAACACATACATCTGTTTATGTTGGGATAGCGTAGCCGACAACGGGATAATAGAGCTTTGTTGTGTTGTTTTATCATTTTCTTGCTTTTTTTTTGCTTTTTTTTTTTTTTTTTTGGGGTTGGGGGGGGGGTTAAAAA